CAAATGCACTAACCATAGGTCTCTATTTGCCCCACAAGCAACTAAATAGAGTAGAAATCACGGAGAAACTTACTTTTGTTCGCGTTCTGGCGATCTTAGGTACTGTGAGTCATCCGACGGTTTAAGAAGTCTTGTGTCCCCAATACTTGTTGCACGGCGAATGCCTGCAGGAGGAAGGCGGTCTGGACTGACTCCTGTTGGAATGTTCAGGAAAATTGAATGAGAATAAAATCTAAAGAATATCATCCTTTAAATAATGCCTTAGAAAATACAGCCAATCAGAATACAGGAAAATTTTTAGAAACAACACAATGTTTTTTTAAAAACATGTTTCACTGGAATCTTCTAAAAATTTTAACATCCAGACCTTTTGGCAATACAGGAAAACCTTTGTATATTCAACTGTATTATATCCAACTTTCCCATCATGTGCTACGAGTATGTTGCATTGATTGCGTTGGCTAAAAGCCCATGTATATACTGAGAAAACACAAGTGACAAGAGGGATATTCCGCTGTATACCACGGGAGAGTGTTGCATTAAGTTCTATTTTATACCATGTCGTAGGAAATACAGTGGCCAATGTGATCAATGTGACGTGTGTGTAGTGCATGATGGGAAGCTTCATTGCAAGCTAGTTCCAGTCCTTTCCAGTCTAGTACCGAGAATACGAATATGGTATACTGATACCTTCTTTCTTTCCACCAACTATTTTATGTGGGCTTTGCTGTCTCTTGGGTTTGCTCTTCTGTGGGTTCTTAGACTGTTTCTTGTAGTCGACAAAATCCTTCTTGTAGGTACTTTTCCTGTTTATTCTATCTGGCACGTAAACAGGTTGCTTTCTATTTTCACGTTGCTCTTTAAATATCTTTCTCTCTGCTGCAAGGATTGGTGTCTCACTTCTGTGTAGCACTGAGTCTCGTGTGGCCTTTGTGCTTTTTTCCTGAATTTACACAAAAAAATCATTCTAAAGTGAAGGGTACTGATCAGGAAGTGAAAAGAGAGCTTAATTTTCTTTAATTTTCAAATAAAATAACAACACATCTAGACATGCATTCTAGTATCACAGTCTTACACCCTACTCTATATTAACCCACTGATGCCTGTGCTGGCCGTAACAACTGTTGACCTTTGTTTCAGTTCTGATGTCATCACCTATGACCCAAATTGGCATCACTTATACTCAAGTTCTGTAGGAAAAAAAAAAACTTTCCAATGATACCTAGGTCAGAGCGATTGGGCCAACTGAGCCTGAAATATGCACAAAGAAGCTCAGAAATTAGAGTGAAAAACTCAGGGCAAAATTTCCCTCAACTACACTGATGGCCACTCTGTGGTAAGAATTTCCCGTCTCGATGATGCTTTCTCAGAGATTCCTGAACTGGAAGCAAGCCTGGAAGAAGGTCAACAACTGCAGCAGAAAGATAGGAAAAGGAGGAAAAGCCTAAAGATGTAGGTCACTTTCTCATCTCGTCGTTGGGTTACAATCTTGAAATTTTGATTTCTGCTCATGCCCTGGCTAAAATGTCATAAAACATGATGCTAGTGGAAAGAAAGGTATGCTGTCATGTTGCAAATGCCTTTTTGAGTAATTTGGCTCATACAGCAAGGCTGAAAATGTCCAAAATGTCCAAAAAATGGGTTTTTGCCAAAAAGCTCCAGGTATCAATGGGTTAAGCAGATACCAACTGCAAGCTAAAGACAGTATTATAATAATATTGTAAGCACTCTACCTCTTTATACTGTCTGTTTGGTGAGCGAGACCTGTGAGAATTTTCATCAGATTTCAACCAGTCTCTATCATGCTGTTCTTTTACAGTTAGAGTTGTGAAAATGTTGTGGTTCTTTTCATATGGTACAATTCTCTTCCTTTGTAGTGGTGGTTCAAGAGTTGAACCCAGTTGAGTTGAAAGCAATCCTGCCCTTGGAGTAGATCCATTACTATGAACGCCATTGTAACTTAAGGATCTAGTGACTTCCCCCTTTACTGTGTTTGGACGTCTGGACTCAAACTGTTTGTAATGTGAAATGTACTCTGATTCGTATCTCTAAAAGTTGATATAATAACAGAAGAAAAATGAATGACTTAAACAAATTAAGGCTAACTTAGAAACCTGGGAAAATGAGATGAGAAGGTGGGACTTAAATTGGTTTTGCACTTTGATATGCTACATGATGGATTTGTCAGTAATTTACATGTCTAGACTGGAGCCTCTTGTGTCACTGCCCTAAAGACAAAATATACCTGCAGTTTTGTTTGACTGGGTACATTATTAGTTTTGCCAATATTATTATACCACCAAAACCCAATGCAACAGCATTTTAAACGGATTCTGTGGATAAATTTCCTGCAACCGGGTACCATTCTACACAAATTGGAAGGTCACATAGGTACGGAGTGAGGAGCCTCCAATAAAATTTTCATGTGGTTCATGCAGTCAGTCCCAGGTTATTAATTCTCTCTCAACATGACATATTTAATGACATTATGTCTTTCTGAAGCAATTTTTTTCTTGTACTTTTTCAGTACTTCTGACAATAATTTTTGTCCCTTACAAAAAAGTTATACCAGGTTTTAATGGATACCTGTCATTTCATCCTAATAATTCTAAACAATCCCAATTAAAATGTGTAAACGTGATTGGATCGCTAGGAGACATAAGCTTTATGTAGACAAAATGCACTGCCAGCAACTAATTAAGAACTTACACGACCAGATAAATAAGATTTGTAATGGTAAATTTTGCACCACGTTTAATTATTATGCGCTAGGCTAATTAGATCATCGATTCTCACGTTAAAGCTTCAAGAAACAAGTTCAACACCTCAAAGTCTGACTATATGATATAAGCCAAGTATTGAGCGGATGTCCTTTGGCACAAATTACAGCAAATGTAGATATTGAATGAAATGAGTGTACCATTGAATTGCCGTATATAAGATATTACCTGCCGTATTATATTGCCGTATATAAGATACTATGAAACGCAAAAGGTTTCAGAATTTGTAGAAAATATAAACGTTTCCTTAGACGGAGGGATTTCAAGTGTAAGATTGATTGATACTTGTTCAAAGGCACCAGGTTTATGTAAACAGTGTAAACAACATAAGCGTGCAGTTGTTAACCGTAGTAAATTATTTAGGCTTACCTTGGAGCGCGGCGCTGGCATTTCAGCGAAGTCAGGTCTTAAGATCAATCAAGGAAAAGTTCAAGCAGCCAAGAAGGCCATCTACTAAGAAATCGAGGCCAGAAAGGACAGTAAAACGCCGCGATCCCGCGATCGGCTTGAAACCACGCTTCGGCTTTCGCGTATACTTTGGCTCTTGACAACCGAAGACGCGCTCTGATCAGCTGATAACGAAAACGAGGCAATCGCAAAGGACATGCGCATTTGCACTCAAAATGAACCAACATGGCGGATTCACCTGGCGAGCCACCATCTAGCGTCTCACAACCTGAACAAGTCTTGGCTCAAAAAAAGAACAATGAAAGCAGAGACAGGAAGAGCAATGAGAGAGAAAGATCCCTTAATGCAGTGAGCGCCGCGGCGAGAACAAAGCTCTCGCAATTAATCCAACTGGCCAGTGAGGCTGAAGAGCAAACTGATTATAAGAAAGTTGTGGACACTGTCTTTGACTCGGTAGGGAGAGAACACTTATGTTTTTTATTTGTATATATGTAAACGGCGCAACTTTCTGTGTAGTCTTCCTAACATCCACGGTAAGTCTTGGGAGTCTACGTGAGCTTTACACGATTATATTAATATTGGATCGTGAAAAATATATTTTTGAAAATTAATGTAAGCTTATTTTTTTCCGCATGATCTGCGCGTAAGATGCTGATTACATGTCATTTTTCTTTGTGTTGATCGTCAATCTGATCGTAAATGTTTACATTTATCTTTTCTCGCGTTTTCAGCTTGTTGGCGGTGTTTTCGACCTCGAAGCGCGGTTCAACATCAAAGATTCATCCGATCTAATAATATTATTGGAGCTATTAGAGCACTGCAATGTATCCTTGAAGGTACGTCAGCTGAACTCCCCATTTTAACTGATATCACGCCCGCGCGCTCTAGTCTGTCACAATCACTACTTGATATTTGCTTCCTTTTACACCTGATTCGCCAACTCGTGGCAATTTTTCGACATGGCCTTTGTCATTACCAAGGGAACGGAGCGGATGAGGAAATATGGCGTATTTTGTGGCTTTAATAATGATCACAACAGTGGTTGTCTTTTGCTGAAGAGTTAGTTTCCCGTCTCCGCAGGTGTCTTTAATTATATCCTGATCTCGGAATATTTATATTCTCGTAAAGCCACTTTTTCTCTATTTGGAGAAAGAACGTGCAGAGATATTTTTTTTCAAAAATTATGTAGATTTAAAACAAGTTTGTAAAAGTCAGGACATGTTTAAACGCATTGCATGATTTATCTTGTAAAGATCCTTGATCGCTCAGTGTACAATTTCAAGATGTTCTTCATTTTCTATTGTTATCTTAAGTGACTGTTTTTTCCTACGAGTTTTTATTTTGTAATGGAATTAACACTATATATTTTTGTTTGGTGGCCATTGGGTTCTTGTAGAATGTTTTCTTTTTTATGCCTCTTAATATATGGTTACTTGAATGTGTATAGTTCACATGTAAATAAAGGCCAGTTTACATGTAAATAAAGGCCAATGGATTATTAATTTTTCGAGTAAAGATGTTTAAAGAGTCTACATTGACAACATTTTGTTTTGTGTACAGACACAGATTTTCATGACTTGAAGGAGTGTGAGGCATTGGGTTATTCAAACCTTGTTAATAAATTAGATGGGTATCTGATACGCAATATGTCTTTTTGAAAAATCAGTTGAGAGAAAAATTTCCCTGTGTAAACAAAAGAATTGGACAAGGTCTTTGTTTTACTCCTTACCTATTTTTAGTGTGTAGTCAACCAAAGTAAACAGACATGCCAAAACTCTAATAATTTGGTTCCCAAGAAAATTTGGCAAGGTTTGATTTCAATGAGAGCACAATGTGCAAAGAAAGTTGTGTCTGATAGCCTGGGAGTAGTGGATTTTTTATTTGGGCTAAAAGATCTTTTGTTTGCTTATGGGCTAAAGAAAATTTTTTATTATTATTGTTTTAGTTTAATTTTAAATTAATTAATTATACTTCTAAGAATTTGTTTGGGCTGGACAAGTGAGAATGAATTTTGGTCGAGCTCATCTTCGTTTCACATTGTAACTTGACAAAAAGGGACAAGTCTAAAAATTGGTTTTCTTTCCACCCTCGGCCTGGCAGACATGCACTGTAAACAGTGGTGTCACAGCATCCTGCCGCAATCAGCTCTCCTCAACTTTGTTTGTTATTTGATGTTAGTGCCCTCCATATATATTTACAACAAACTGCAGGCAAAGCACCCTGTTGCTACAAGAAATTATGTGGGACTTTATTAGTGGTGTTGTTTGATGTTCAGTTACTGAAAGCAATTTGCATATGAAAGCTTATCGCTTATCTTATGTTTATGTGAATGAAAATGATGCTTTGCAGAAGATTAATGTTTATTGATCTCTGTGCTGTTTTTGTAATACTTTTAATAGGTTGAAATTTTGGGATTGCTCATTGCAATCTTAAGAAAGAGCATTCCTAACTTGCAAGCAGCCACCAAAATTGGCCTGATTGAAAGAGTATTATGCCGACTTTCACAGGAAAGAGAAGTTGTAGCAGGTGAATAAAATGATGTTAAGTGGTTGATTAATGTGCCTGCACCTATATATTGTATGATAAGGTGTGGTACTGTGTAAACTAGTATGGTATGTAATGTAATATCTCAAACATGGCAGACCATGTCTTTTGTCTTAATTCCAAATACTGAGAACAGAGTTGAAAATTTAATACACAGCTGGTTATTTTTGATGAACTTCGAGGTGTTTGGAAATGTGATGAAATACTGTCTGGCATGTTTGATATATTGTCTCATTTGAAACTAAATTGATGAGGACATAGAGAAATAAAATTATAAAAACCTTTGAGTTATTAGAAACTTAATGAGTTTCAGAAGGTTTGGTACAATGCACCAGGGTTTGGCATGCTGTTTTTAAAATGGTTCTGGGAACCAATCCAGCTACTGTTCCTCTGCACTGTTCACCCTGTAGTGCCCGAAATAGCAACTGAAAGATAAACCATTTCTGATTTGTCTTAGGCCTCTACATGTACTTATATCCTTGTGCAAAATCTTTCAGATGAAAATGAGTTTGCATATTTCCATACTTGAATGATTTCACAAGAAGACCCCCTTTGACCTAGAAGCAAATTATGCAACTTGAAAATGGCCTATTTCTTGTACTTTCTGGATGTATATCATCTGGCAGTTAGAGTGAGATCTCTTACAATGTAAATCATTTAACTGCATAGTGATACTTCTTTTCTTCTCATCATTAACCTTTTGATAATGAATAGAGGGGGTAAGTTTCCAAAGAAACTGTGGTGCTGCGTCGGTGGGGAGCATAACAAGATAATTTGGTTTTATCAACTGGGTTGATAATGTTAATTGGCCACCATAAAGAGATTCAAAAACTGGTGTTTCGAGCATTAGCCTTTCGTTAGCCCTTCGTTTGCATTCGCTCTGACGAAGGGCTAATGCACGAAACGTCAGCTTTTGAATCTCTTTATGGTGGCCAATTCACATTATCAACCCAGTTGATAAAACCAAATTATCTTTTGATAATGAATTTATTTAGATACTGTACACACTGTATCTAGATACATAATGAGAGCCAGAATTGATTCTTTTGGATTTTGAATTCCTTTTCACTGTGTTTTCAGACAAGTTGGTAGAGCTCCTTGGCATCTTATCCAGTTACAGTATCACAGTAAAAGAGTTGAAGACATTGTTTGCCACTTTGAAAGGAATAAATGGCAAATGGGTAAGTAGAGGTTTTAGTTGCGTGAAATATCAGTCTAAAAGCTTGTTATCAAACATCGTTGGTATAACCTAGCCAAACCTCATCTAGAGCATGTTTTCAATAATATAATTGCTACTCAGATTTCATTCTTGTGCTCAAAATATGCTTACTTGCACATCTTAGTAGTTCTTTGCTGATTACTTACTAGAATCTACAACTGACATCACTGACATCAAGGAAATATCAAAGACCTGAAATACTTTCAGTGGTATCACACATGCCCCAGACAGTATAGAGCTTTTGGCTCAAGCCCTTCCCCTCTGTCAATGGAGTAAACGAGTATTAAGGTGCAGCACCAACCTCTATCTTTTTTATATGGTGGACATTTTCAGAGTGACACTCTCATAGCATATGCGCTAAAAGAGACGGAGATCTCAGAGATACTTACAGTTGCTTTGTATAAACCTATTTGTTTTTATTGATAGCCCTGCCATACAGTCAAGTTATTGACTGTCTTGAAGCTGATGTTGGAGAAACATGGTCCAGATGTTTACTTCAACTTTTCTGGTCAAGAGGGAGGAGTAAGTGGCTATATGTTGTGCATGTAAATATAAATGTTTGTTTCCAGGGTTCAAATGATTCAGTCCCAGAAAATATCCATACCTATCCCATATAAGGTTGCTGGAAATTCTTTGGAGGTGGGGTTCTCAAACACCAAAATTCTAAAACTGAAATATGAAGCTAAACTGGAATTTCCAGTAGGGTGGGGTATTTAAACCAAAAAACGTTTCTATAGGCAGGGCAAGGGGGTTGGTGAGGGTGGTTTATTTGGGAATCTTAATTTTTTCTTTTTAGTTTTTGTTTAATAGTGATTATTATGTAGACAATGTAATTATTTTTTATTTTTTTAAGAAAAAAATTGACCAGCCTTCCTCACTACTTCTCTCCATTTATCCCTGACCCATTTCCCCCTGCTTTATAATCAGGCAATGCTCACAGTTTCTTTGAATGCATCATTTAATTTACAGGCCATCACTTTGCCACCCATTTCAAAATGGCCTCTGCAGTCTGGGTTTACCTTCTCAACATGGCTGTGTCTTGATACATCACACTTGGCAAATGCAGAAAAGTGTAAACCATACCTCTACTGGTAAGTGGACATTGTTAACAGTTCTTGTTGAGAGGAAAGACGTTTGACATAGTATCAGCATACATAGTGGAGGTGTGGTTGCATAATGATTAGCTCTCTGGGCAGAGTCAGTGCATTTTGTTCTTGGGCAAGACCCTCGCAGTGCCTCTCTCCACTAACATGTATATAAATGGGTACTGAAAAATTAAATACTAGGGGTACATGTAACTCTGTGATGGACTAGCATCTCATCCAGGGGGGAGAAGAGATACTCCTAGTTGCTCATGCTACAGAAACTGGGATAAGCTCTGTATGTATCCATGGGCCTCTGGCCTGATGGAGGCTTTACCTTGGAACATATTATTCCAATATTGCGTGACCACAGATAGAGCTGAGGTCAAGAATTAGCCTTTTGGGCATACAGATATTCTGTGGCCAGCCACAAATCTTGCTTTATATCATGAGCCTACCTCATAGCAATTTTCCAAATGTCTGGGGAAAAGGGGTAATCTACATGTATAACACTTAACGTTTACAAGTGCAATGATTGTTTTACTTTTATTGCAGTTTTCGAACTGGAAAGGGTGTTGGTTACTCAGCCCATTTCTCTGGCCCCATGCTTGTCCTGGAATGTGCTGTCAAAACTGGAAAACGAGAAAACAAAGTTCTTCATCATCTGGTTAAGTTTGAATTTCACCCTCAAAAGGTAACTACAGTGCCTATATTAATTAACAGTTAAATTTTGTCTCTTTTGGAATTTTTTAACCTGAACTGGTCTCTGCCCTCAACCTAACATTAGTTGGGAGGCAAATGAATTTTGGCAGCCATGGATTTTAAGTGGTTTTCATCTAAGGGTGCATTCCTTTGGGGTGATCTGGATCAGGATCAGTGATCCAAGATCACTCGGATCATAGTTCATCAAAGGAACCGATGATTCTGTGACCAGAGTGGATTCATCGGTTCCTTTGATGCAACATGATCTGAGTGATCTTGGATCACTGATCCTGATCCAGATCACCACGAAGGAACGCACCCTAAGCCTTAAAGTAAAACAATAGTTTATTGTATAATTTTTTAATATGGTTACCAAAGAATTTGAAACTCTGAAACCTGAATTCTAAGTTAAACTGAGTATTTGGCCGAATGGCATATCAATTCTGTGCTGCGAGGTCTTCACAAAATGACAGAGAAGGAAAATATCTCTTTATTCCGACCTCACTCACTTAAACAACTTTACTGACTTGATGTTATTGGAAAAATATTAAAAAAGTCTTCAGTTGGCGGATGTTCTGAATTGTGCCAACCATGTGTATTGCCGGCATGTGCTGGGCTAGACTGTTTTTTTTTTTTTTTTTGGATTGGCTCACATAAACTCACTGTTTGTGGTGCTGTTGTCTGTAGGATTGTGTCAACAGGGATATACAGTGGTATAAGAAGATTATCCTCATCACACTATTGTTGATAATTAATTTGTTAATCCTTTAAGGGGAAATCAGATGATGATCATTGTAAATTTTTATGTTTGCAGTGGTACATGGTCACAGTAGTTCACGTGTACAACAGATTTCATTCCAGTGAGATCCGATGCTTTGTCAATGGAAAAGTAGTGTCTACTGGGGAAACAACTCTTGTACATGCTAATGAGGTAAATTAACACAAAACATGTTCGGAAATTGCTTCATTGTAGTGAAAGCTTCCTGGAGGCAGCATGGCTGGGTGGCTGGGCTTGAAATCCAGAGGACACAGGATCAAGTCTCGTTCTGACCTCTAGCTGTTGTTGTCACACCATTTTTACTATTTTATATTAATTCAATTCTATCATGTATTTCAAACTTGATAATGATGACATGGAGTCATCGAAACGTCGTTCACTTTTCATATCGCTTATTTTCATTCTAAAGTGCTTTACGAAACCTTGTACTGTATTATCAGAAATTAGATACTGTACGATAAACTTCTAACTATAAGAATTCCTTTTTGTTAGCCATTTGACAAGTGCTACATTGGTTCATCACCCAAGGCTGACGTTGAAACTGTGTTCTGTGGCCAAATGGCAGCAGTGTATGTTTTTTCTGAAGCTCTTAATGCCCAGACTGTTGGTGCCATACACAGACTGGGGCCTGGTTATAAGGTGAGAAGCTTTTTGACACCAGCAACTTATGTCGCTTATTGATAAATAAGTTCATTGACTGAGTGAGTAAGACTGTTGGCAGTACTGGTAGTAAAATTGACATCCCTTCTGGTTAAACTTAATATTGATTAGTATTTAGCACACATATACCACCCCATAGATTATGGTGCTTTTCACAAGTTGCGACTGGTTAACCTAGAGGTGACTTAAGGTTACAGTATACCTTCAGATCGGCAATTTTCTTCAAATTTGGATTTTTGGTTCAAAGTAATGGTCAAAGAGTAATCTCTAATTTCTGAAAACAAAATTGAAAAAAACTCAGTATTGGCGGAGAAATGGAGGTTTTACGTTACGGCCGGAAGTAAAAGTTCCCTCTTGATTGACAGCCCTATAACGTGTACGCAATCA